TGTAGCAAAGTCCATATTTTAACAAATTGGAAATTTTAAAAATGATCAACAAGTTTCGGATTGAAATATTTGGTTCTATGGGTTTTGCATCTGCTTATTTTTGTGAAATTCCGTAGACTTATTATTATTTGTAGATTTTCGGGGTTGGAGAAAGCATTTTTATGAGCATTTCTTGCTCACAATCCAGTCCTCATTACCAATGACCAAGAAAGCATTATTTTTTGCTTGTCCTCATAGTAGAAAAAAAATATCTAACTTGTTAGTTTTGGATAATTTTGATGGTATGGAATTACCTGCATTTGAAGTCTATATGCATTTTCGAACTATGCACTCGTGAACTTGGCTATATTCATTTTGATTGTCTTTTGCAAGTCGTGAAAAGGGCAGGTGATGGATTAAATAGTTCTTTTATTGAGTCAGAGTGAAAAGTTGGAGGCAAACAATCAATTAGAAATAGGCTAGGAAGTGATTCTGATTCATTTGGTCAATTTAACATTAAGCGGTGAGTAAACCATCTTAGTCTATGGGTGACCTAATTTTAAAATCAGCTACTTGTGTTACTTAGTTTAATATGTTTAGGTTTTTCTTATATAAATGTGCTTATTCGTAATAAAAATAAATTCTTTATGCACTGAATCCTTAAGTAAAGATGACGCTTATCATTCTAATTTTTGTGGAAATCCTTTCATTTTTGCTTACTAGCTTGAAAATGCAATGAAGTAATACATTGTGTATAATTGTGAAGGCAAGTTATACTGGTTGGTATGATTGTTATTAGCAAGTTAGAGATTACAGATTGAGCATCAGTGAACAACCCACCAATACTATCTTTATTTTTAACTCTCTATCTTTTATCCTCCTTTCTATTGATTCACCAGAAAACCTAACAACTTGCAATTTGTGGTGTTGAGAAAGAACAAAGGGTACCCTATTTCATATGAAAGATATTATTCCGTGTGGTTTATTTATAGTTGAATGATTATCCTTTTTTATCCATTGAAGTTTCAGTTTTCCCTTCCCTCAAATGAATTCCATTTCGGGCTTGTAAATTGTTCTTTTGGAATTTATTTTTAGTAGTTTCTAGCTTTCGCTTTAACTTATGTGGATCGTTACTAGTATGCAAAACTTTCCCTTTCTAATTGTGTTTTTGGACCAAATATGTTATACATAACACGACTGAACTCGTTGGTTCACAAAAAAACTCCAGTCCACCTCAGTCCATTCCCGTATTTCCATAAATTGTATTGATTATGCCCAAAAAATAATTTGGTAGTTGTAGCACTTTGGGATGTCGATTCCACGGGGAGATGGACGAATTGTTTAAAGGATTTGACAAACTAGGGTTTTCGTGGTGGTGAGAGAAACCTATCAATTTGAATAAAATTTAAATATAAAAGTGTGAGATTAGTGAAGTATCGAAATTCATTATCCCGGATTGGATCAATCAACACCAATCATTCATGTATCTTACTCAAAAATCTAGGTTCCTATAATAAATTCCCACATTAATCTATTGAAATCAGATTCAAAAGCGAGCATATACATAAAGTAGCAAGGAATCACACCAATGAGATTAATTGAAATTGAAATTCAATAGATATTCGATCAAACTGTAGGAAGAGCATGATTAATTTTATGAAAAATATAATAAGAATTAAACCACTTTCAATATCAATTCATGAAGAAAAACCTAGATCAATTTAATTTCACTCATAATTCTAGAATTTAGGCTTCCTAAGAACATATTCCGCTTTGATTTATTGAAATAGGATTCAAGAAACGATTATATACCTCAAGTATAAAATAGTAATCAAATCACATCAATAAATCAATTGAAGTTTAAATCCAACAAATATTTTCTTCATTCAATGGAAAAAACATAATTGAATTCATGAACAATTTAATAAAAGCTAAACAAACTTCAAAAGTATAATAAGATAGAAATCTAAATCCCAAAATTATTCGACAACGAAAAGCACGTCTCATGAATGAAAAGATATTAAAATCCCCAGATCTAATCGAGATCCTTCGTGGCTTCACCAAAATAATTAGCCTTCTATGGAGTTCTTCAGCCCAAGATGATAGAAAAGAGATAGAAGATGATCGAGAGCGTGTTCTGGTCGAATTAGGGCTTAAAACCGAGTGTCAAATTGTTTCCAAAAGAGGTTGAATGGAATAAGGAAGCTTGAAGATTGGGCCAAAAATTGTTCTGTGCAACTGTTTTCAATATTTTTGCCATAACTTTATCTCCCAATGTTCGATTACGAAAGTTTAAAGTGTATTAGAAAGCTAACACAAAGGGCTACAATTTTACTAGAAGTAGTTCTTTCCAAATTCGAACGTTTACTAAGTCAAAAGTGGATCTCAATCTACGGCCGAAAATCTGAAAAATTCTTATGCGGTAGAAATTTGATTTGTGAAAATATTATTTTCATATTTAACTTCTTTTTAACTTTTAATTGCACCCAATGGACTCCTAGATTTCTCAAATCATCATTCCATCGTCGTCTCATCTTTAGATTATTTGCAACTTAGCCCCTGAACTTTCACTTTCTTTCACTTCACTCCTTTTTTCACTTTTTTCTTCTAAATTCCACCGTATTCATCCATTTGCAACCTAAATCAAAATATAAAGGTATTTATTGCGTTTAGGCGTCAATATATCATGCAAATACAAGTATAAATGGATGAAAACATGACAAATTGTGCTATTATCATGTATCGACAAAATGGAACAATTCTTGTGACAACAGACAAAATTCCTTCGTTCCCTTTCTCAAATCCAACTTAATATGAAAATCCTTCAACCGTTATCTCCTCATCTTCCTAAATCTATGTGAAATATCCAATTCCTCGAGAAAGAGAAGATCAAGCAGAGGTGCCTTACTTTACTACGGTACAAGATTATGAAAAAAGCCACCCCACCACAGTAGGCGGGCTGCTGTCCTCTTCTTTCCTTGCTACAGGATTATTGAGGCATCAAGGAAAAGCTTTTGAATCTTTAGTGTTGAATATGTTGATAATCTACACAAATCATTCAAAAAACGTAACTCAAGAACTGGTTCTCCACCCAACTGGCATATTGCTGTTTTACGTTAACTACATTGAACAACTACAATTATTTCGCGTTTATTTGCAGTAGACACATTTTAAGAAGACAAAATTTGTGATTGACATGGCATTTACAGGTAATATTAGGCAAAGGACGCACACTATATATTAACTGTTCAAGTTAAAGGACAGCGACAATGGTAGTACAGTACATTAGTAATGGTGATGTCTAGGAAAAGAGGGGTCAGGAATTGCCATTTAATTTCATTCCATTTCCGCGTTGCCAGCTAAATGTTAAAGTGACACTTTTATCCGCACTATTTTGAAATTACCACAATTAAACTGTCTTCAGTTTTATTCAAAAATAGATAGTAACCCTGATTTTGGAATATAAAAAGAAAATGACAAGTCATTTTTCAGGCAATTGGATTCATTAGAACATCAAGAGTGGCTCGCATTTTTTGTATTAAATCTAGCCGTATCACAAATGCACTTTTTAAAAATAATTTGCTATTGAATTTAAAGAAGTACATTTTACCATTATAACAGATGGGGATCTTTAAAATTTCCGCTGCACACGCTAATAGAGGTTAACTGAAATTGGCTTGTTTCAAAGTAATTAAAAAACACAATTCGATAGGATGAATTATAGCTTTCTTCCCCTAGTTAAAACCTTGGGAGTATATTTAACAATGGGTAATATTAAATTAACATGAAAAGATTTGCAGGTCGGTAAATGACTTCAAGGGAGTAAGACATTACATGTCAAAAAGACAAAAAATAAAGAAGAAGAAAACAAATATTTTTGAGGAAAGGAAGCATGTACACTAGAAGTAATTTCATTGTGGATTTTTAAAGAAATTAGCAATGCCGACAGTTGAGATGGAATCATTTCCTTGACACTGATAAAAATAGGAAAGTAAATTCAATCATTTATAATATATATATATATATACTCCTCTACATAACAATACTGCCCACTATTCCTCTTTTTTCTCACAATGGATCATACTGTTATAGATGTCAACCCTAGTGCTACTAAAGAAGTTGTATTGAGAAATGGAGAAGGAGAAGTAGTTGAAGTTGTTGCTGTACATAATGGTGAAAAAGGAGATGCTAGTGCAGTAGATAGTGAATAAGGAAACTCTGGTGCTATAGATGGTGAAGGAGGAGAAACCTGTGCGGTAGATGGCGGAGGAGGAAAAGCTGGTGAAGCGCTGCCCATTGTTGCCGCTGAAAGTAACATTGTTTTTAATTTGTTCCTTGCAATATATTCATAGGTAGATGCCCTACGAAATGGGAGACTGCGTGTGAATGAAAAACTCTCGGATTGGGACATATACGAGAGCTTTATGATATCTTATGAAACGGGTGAAAACATGTTAAAGCTGATGAGCTATTGCAAAATACTGATTTAAAAACTCGGCTTCAAAGTTTCCCACATTCAAATCAGGATTCAGGATTATTGAGGAATTAAGGAAAAGCTTTTGAAGCTTTAGTATTGAATATGTCGATAATCTATACAAATCGTTCAAAAAATGTAACTCAAGAACAGGTTCTCCACCCAACTGGCATATTGCTGTTTCACCAATTTAACTGAACTGAAGAACTATGATTATTTTGCGTTTATCTGCCGTAGACACATTTTAAAAAGACAAAAATTGTAGATGACATGGCAGTTTTAGGTAGTACTAGGCAAAAAATGAATGGTATATATTATCTATCCAAGTTAAAGGACAACCGTAATGCTAGTACTGTACTAGTAAGGGTGGGGTCTAGGAGAATGGGGTCGGGCATTGCCATTTCATTCGTTACATTTCCACATGGACCGTGCTATGATGACCGAATGCGTTGACAGATTCCTTGACATTCTGGCATGGAACGTGAAATAAAAAATAAAAAAAATAAGAAAAGGAAAAACGATATCAGACGGAATTGACTTAAAGCAAACAAGACCGGACTCGGCCCAATTTGTCAAACCTCATATTCACTACCCTTCCCGTTTCTTCCCATTTCTCCCAAGACAAAATCAATTTCTTCCAAACAAGATCCTCCGACGCCAGATCTAGCACGGATAAACTCACACCCTCCGAAGCCGGCACAAAAAGAAGGTGTTTTTACCAATCGTTGGTTGCTGCACCAAACCCGTCCTCGTCTTCGTCACTGGAAGTAAGTTCAAATATGTGGGTTTTCGAAGGATTAAGTGTGGCGTTTAATTTTTGGTGATTTCATTTTTGTTTTCTCATTTCGTAATTAGTATCAGTCATTGGGTCGAAGGAAGGTTCTTTCCCTTATTTTTCTCCTACATGGTGTGGTTGTAAACTAAATGAAACACCTTAAATTTGGGGGTTTCATTTTTGTTTTCTCATTTTGTAGTTAGTAGCAGTCGTTGGGTCGAAGGAAGGTTTTTTCCCTTATTTCTCTCCTACATGATGTGGTTGTAAACTAAATGAAATGCCTAAAATTTGCATTGCAGACTCCGAAATGATTCCGTGGCTACATATTTGCATTCTATAATCCGGAAAGAGTCGGTTTTCTTTTTTTTTCTTTTTTCTTTTTTTTTTACATGACTTCGAATTGCTGGAGGAATTTCGTTTAGGAAAAGTTTACCTTCACAAATTGAAAATAGTTTTGTTCCAGTGTCTATTTCTGAACTCAATAAATGTTGAAATTTTGATTTTTCTCATTATGGTGATTGGTGTGATATAGATGTCTGGAATATGTATAAAAAGTAGTATGATTGCTTAAATGGATCTGAGCTCTTATTCCTAAAGTGATTTTGATGTGTCGTGGTTTATTTTCAGCTTACGATGGCAGGAAAGAACCAGGGAGTATGTCATGGTTATAGAGGAAAGGGGCATTTTTTTGCTAACTGTCCAGAAAAACGTCGTTGCCCATGGTGCAAGTATGCATTCGTCAAGTGTTTTGAGGTGGAGAAAAGAAAGCAAAAATAAAGGTAGATTATTCAATATGTGTACTGCAAAATGTGGATATTAGGAGTGGGTCAAACATGGCGAGACTAGCGGCGAATCAAGTGCAGTCAGAGTAACTTCGACGAATTATGTGACGAGCAAAGGAGTTGAAGAACTGTCTTGCACATGTCAATCTCAATGTCGACTATTTGATCAACGTGATGTGGAGATGGCTCTTAACGTTATGATACACAAAGGAAGAGCAGATGCGGATGGAGAGAAGAAATGAAAGGGACAACATCTTGCAGTTCTCAATTTAATGACATTATTCACCTTTGCATTTTCGGCATTAGTAGTTTCATCACTAGTTGCAGTGGTTAACTTGATGACCCTATTCAGTTGTGGATTCTCGGCAGTAGTAGGTCAATCGATATTTAGTAGTTAAGTAAGGTTGTTTTGTAATTGCATCGCCGTATGAGGTTACTCGACGACGTTAGGTCTAGGGGCATCTCTTTTTTGAATTGTAAGTGACCATTCCTAATTGCAAGTGACTGTTTGTAATTGCAGTGGTTAATTTGTGTTTTTCATTCCCTAATTTACCATTAAGATTTTGAAGTCTGATATCTGTGTAACATCCCTTAACAATAGCAAGGTGTTCTCTGTCCATACAATCAACAGAACCACTGCAAACTTTAGACAACCTCATTTGAAAATTCACAAGGAATCTAAACTAAATGTTCACAAGAAGAAGGAAAAAGAGAAATTATGCATCTTATAACTAACCATGTCCCCTTTTCACTCACTTGTATATGCCTAAAGCTAATAATTGTAATTACTGTATCATAAATCTACTTGGTTATTGACTTGTTTCGTTGGTAATCAACAGATACAGAGATGTTAATGTCGGGAGATGGTCTCTATTCAGAAATCGGCTCTGTATCATTCCAGTTACTAGTAACTATAGATGTAGTGTACTGGTACTCTTTAGCGTTCGGCACTAGCAATGGAGACATTGGAACTCGTGGGAAGTTGATTTCTGGTGCCACTTGCGATATTGTTGTTGCTGCTGTCATTGTAGCCGAAAGACTATGGATCAGAGGAGAAACTCTGGATTCAAGATTTTGCTTTCTTTTGGGTGTCTTGTAACCATTTGGCATGAAGCTTCCAATAACAATCTGGCAAAATAAATCAAAATACGCACAAATTTTGCAGTGAATATAGGAAAGTTTCAAGTCTTTCATTTGGATTAACATACACCTGTGCGCAACATTTGAACTAACACAAGTTACAAGAATCTAGGAATATGGTCACATTTATCTGTGTCTGAGGCATTATGTCAATTATTTCCTATAATTTGACTCTTTGATGACAACTAAATGCGGACTGAGAGATGAACAGCAAAACAGAACTATAGTTGCAAGAGCATAAAATAAGGAGTCAAGATTAAGGCATTATCGTTTATGTTTATTGGTTGAATCAATCAGTCGATAGCTACATAGATATCAGACTTCAAAATCTTAATGGTAAATTAGGGAATGAAAATGATAACGATACTGGCATTGCCTGGAATAATGTAATAAACTAACCATTACGAGCTGTGAATATGATAATGATACTAGCATTGCCTGGAATTGTGATTGTTGGGTTGTCTGACACATGGTTTGCTCTAACTCCAGGATTACTTTGGCGTGCCTTGTATTTTTTCCATTTGGGTGCAATGCAACCTGCCTACTTCACAGATTATCAGAACTTTATTTTCTTTGTATTTGAACACGAGAAGTAAGTGCTGCAGTAAAGGTAATGTAACATACCGTAGCTTTATTTGAACTTAATTCCAACGGGGACTTTTTGCAAAGTTTTCTAGGAGCACCCTTTCTCTTCACCCCTTTTGGATCCCGAACGCTAATGCAACCAGTGCCAGTATCCTCTGATGCGATATCATGCGATGCTATACGAGTACTATGACTAGACAAGACATTACTCCCGCAATTGGACTTCGACGCATCCATCCGTTTGCACTGAGATTCAATCCATTCCAATATTGAACCAACTTTTACATCATCATCACAAGTATGTTTGCCAATGTAGCAAATGCTTTAACTATCTTATTGTACATCAACTGTGCTGGGGTACTAACCAACCTGTCATAGTTCATCGCAACCCTCGTGTGGGATCTGATAACATCTCTCCGTCATCTCCGTAAAATGTATCTGCCAACATTTTCCCTCCATTGCGACTCAGTACCGTGATTGCATGCTTCCATAGGATTCCTCGAACTCGAATAAGTGACAGCTGTAAATAACTTCACATTTGTCACTCGATAATGAGACCAAGAATGTTTTTCTGGTACAATGATGATCATGTATGACGTCTTCATGTACCTCATATGTCGTCACTAGAAATCCCTCACTAACAGAGACAAGACCGCAATAAACTTTGCCAACGAACTCCTCCTGAACTTTCTTGAACTTCGAAATTGTGTATACTGCCTGGAATTGTTTCTCCATTTCATACTTAGTTGCGCAAGGTACCATTTGTGAGAACGATTTGAAATCTAAACACATGGTTTGCTCTAACTCTAGGATTACTTTGGCGTGCCTTGTATTTTTTCCATTTGGGTGCAATGCAACCTGCCTACTTCACAGATTATCATAACTTTATTTTCTTTGTATTTGAACACGAGAAGTAAGTGCTGCAGTAAAGGTAATGTAACATACCGTAGCTTTATTTGAACTTAATTCCAACGGGGACTTTTTGCGAAGTTTTCTAGGAGCACCCTTTCTCTTCACCCCTTTTGGATCCCGAACGCTAATGCAACCAGTGCCAGTATCCTCTGATGCGATATCATGCGATGCTATACGAGTACTATGACTAGAAAAGACATTACTCCCGCAATTGGACTTCGACGCATCCATCCGTTTGCACTGAGATTCAATCCATTCCAATATTGAACCAACTTTTACATCATCATCACAAGTATGTTTGCCAATGTAGCAAATGCTTTAACTATCTTATTGTACATCAACTGTGCTGGGGTACTAACCAACCTGTCATAGTTCATCGCAACCCTCGTGTGGGATCTGATAACATCTCTCCGTCATCTCCGTAAAATGTATCTGCCAACATTTTCCCTCCATTGCGACTCAGTACCGTGATTGCATGCTTCCATAGGATTCCTCGAACTCGAATAAGTGACAGCTGTAAATAACTTCACATTTGTCACTCGATAATGAGACCAAGAATGTTTTTCTGGTACAATGATGATCATGTATGACGTCTTCATGTACCTCATATGTCGTCACTAGAAATCCCTCACTAACAGAGACAAGACCGCAATAAACTTTGCCAACGAACTCCTCCTGAACTTTCTTGAACTTCGAAATTGTGTATACTGCCTGGAATTGTTTCTCCATTTCATACTTAGTTGCGCAAGGTACCATTTGTGAGAACGATTTGAAATCTACTTGAAGCTCTTTCTCAACCTTACTTCTCAATGCTCTTTCGTACTGTTCAACGAATTGCTTCAACGATATCTTTGAATGAACATACCTAGCGAAAAATGCATTAATACTTTCACTTCTTTGAGTTGTTGACTTGCCCGCCCAGAAAGTGGTCCTCAAAAAGCAAGGAACCCAATGAGATCTATTATCATAAAGACATGATAACCATTCATTGTCTTGTAAATTATATATTTCTATCATCACTAGCTAATCTTCTTCGAATTCTTGAACAAATTGAGAATCATAAACCAATCCGTATATAGCAGAGAATATCGAAGCTTTGTCAATGTGAAATCCAAATTTTTCTGGCAATTTTTTCAATAAGTGCCAAAAACACCACCTATGCTTTGTATTGGGAAACACGATCTGAATTGCGTTCTGTATTGCCCTATCTTAATCAGTAATTATCCCATTAGGAGCTTGGTCGTTCATGCACTGCAGCCATATTCGAAAAAGTCACACAAATGTGTCAGTATCCTCATTCAATATGAGACCACATCCGAGGAGAGTAGACTGTCTGTAATGGTTCACTCCAACAAAAGGGGCAAATGGCATATCATACTTGTTCGTCAGGTATGTGCTATCAAATGTGACACCGCACCCCTCGTGTGGGATCTGATAACATCTCTCCGTCATCTCCGTAAAATGTATCTGCCAACATTTTCCCTCCATTGCGTATCAGTACCGTGATTGCATGCTTCCATAGGATTCCTCGAACTCGAATAAGTGACAGCTGTAAATAACTTCACATTTGTCACTCGATAATGAGACCAAGAATGTTTTTCTGGTACAATGATGATCATGTATGACGTCTTCATGTACCTCATATGTCGTCACTAGAAATCCCTCACTAACAGAGACAAGACCGCAATAAACTTTGCCAACGAACTCCTCCTGAACTTTCTTGAACTTCAAAATTGTGTATACTGCCTGGAATTGTTTCTCCATTTCATACTTAGTTGCGCAAGGTACCATTTGTGAGAACGATTTGAAATCTACTTGAAGCTCTTTCTCAACCTTACTTCTCAATGCTCTTTCGTACTGTTCAACGAATTGCTTCAACGATATCTTTGAATGAACATACCTAGCGAAAAATGCATTAATACTTTCACTTCTTTGAGTTGTTGACTTGCCCGCCCAGAAAGTGGTCCTCAAAAAGCAAGGAACCCAATGAGATCTATTATCATAAAGACATGATAACCATTCATTGTCTTGTAAATTATATATTTCTATCATCACTAGCTAATATTCTTCGAATTCTTGAACAAATTGAGAATCATGAACCAATCCGTATATAGCAGAGAATATCGAAGCTTTGTCAATGTGAAATCCAAATTTTTCTGGCAATTTTTTCAATAAGTGCCAAAAACACCACCTATGCTTTGTATTGGGAAACACGATCTGGATTGCGTTCTGTATTGCCCTATCTTAATCAGTAATTATCCCATTAGGAGCTTGGTCGTTCATGCACTGCAGCCATATTTGAAAAAGTCACACAAATGTGTCAGTATCCTCATTCAATATGAGACCACATCCGAGGAGAGTGGACTGTCTGTAATGGTTCACTCCAACAAAAGGGGCAAATGGCATATCATACTTGTTCGTCAGGTATGTGCTATCAAATGTGACAACATCGTCAAATTCCATACATGCCTGCTGACTCCTATTATCTGCCCAAAAAATATTTTTCAAACGTGACTCCTCATCCAAATCAATACTGAAGTTGAACCCTGAGCACCGTGCTTGTATAGTCTAAAAGTATGACTGTATTGTTGCGGCATCACCTTCACCAAGTCTTAGCAGCCTAACTTGTTCAACATAATTTCGACGGTCCTTCTCAATGCAGATCATGTTTTCATATCCACCTGCTTCGATAACTATAGAATTGAAACTTTTGTGTAGCAGTATTCCTGCAATGTCATTTACTTCAAGACGACGTTTCACTTGCGCACTTAATTCTCTATTGCATCTATACAATCTAGATTTTGAAGGACTTGTTTTATGGTTGTGGTCCAGGTGCACTGTGTTAATTCCCCATATTCCACAAATATTTGAGCATGTTGTAAGCCTGGCTTTACATCCACTTTGAATGGTAGCATGTAGCTTTAAAGAAAAACTTGTATTACTGATTTTTTTCCCTTCGTGGCTACAAACGTATATAACATATCGCAGAACTCCATCATCGTCCCTTTTCAAATTTCGTTTTCTCACTAGAAAACCCATGTTATATGTATATCTTTTATAAAAATTGAAATTTTCATTTTTGTCCTTAAACTTCATGCCCACCTCAGGCACAGGCATAGTCACAATCACACCATCCCCTTTTGTTCCGTCATCACCTTGTAATTTTGTATTGTCATGATCACTCTCGTCATCGGACTCCACCAACATAACGGCTTCGATATCGTCTAAAATTTCTTTCCCTGTCACAAAAAAATGATTAATGCAACATATTCAGTTTATTTATAACATATACAAATTGGGCTTCTTATAGGTATGTTGTCTACTGGAGCAGTTTCGGTGGAATTAACAAAGTCATCATGTTTTTACTCAACAAATTTCTGTCTATTCCGTTGAAAATAAGCACCATGTATAAGAATTTTCAAATTTCACACAAAATGAATCTGGAGATTTTATCTACACACAACAAAAATAAAAACATGTGGTGCCTAAAAATAGTGTGGCAGGAAATAAGGTCATATTCTACATGAAATAACCTTTTTTTCCCCATTTCAAGAACGTTACAGAGAATGATGATGGTGTCACGCAACATTTACAGTTTCTTTTAGAAATTTTACATACTCTTTTCTGGGAAAAATGGTAGGCAGGACTACTAGAAGGTGATCATTGAGGGGACAACTGAAAATTGTAAGCACACTTTACAGTAAAGGCCTCATTTGGGTAATCTTTCTCAACCAAAAAACCAATGTATCTACTAAATGATTTCTTCATAGGTGAAGAAGATATCCTCATCAGAACATCAATAGACGCCTTAGATTTTCAAACAAATTTCAAATTCGAAAAATAGTTTTACATTTTACAATAAATTTCACCCTTTACCTTCTCTTGTCATAATTTCAAAGCAAGGGTCGGTGAATGGTCGGAATGAAGGTGACCAATCTGAAGGTGCCGTTGTTGTACACTAACGGAGCTAGTGTATTTATCTGGAACTGTCGAAATCTAGAACGATTGTGCGGCCAAATCGGAGGTGTCGGCACTATGGCCAGATCGTGAGCGCCAAAATGGGGCCACTATAGATGAGAGCTGAGATAGCAACAAAATTGGCGCCCAAATTTTTAATGAATTGGGGACGAAAATGGGTCTCATCATTTGTTTTTAAACAATGAGAAACAAGGTCAAAGAATTATTTTAATATATTGGTTACACGTCATTCGATCATTCCGCAGGTCAAAGAATATGGTAAAGTAGCATTTTCCTTTCCACATTGCCAGCTAAGTGTTAAAATAACACTTTTATCCGTACTATTTTGACATTACCAAAATAAAATTGTGCCTTCATTTTTATTTAAAATGGATAGTAACTTTAATTTGGAATATAAAAAGAAAACGACAAGTCATTTTTAGTCAGTTGGATTCATTAGAACATCAATAGTGACTCGTGTTTTTTGTATTAAATCTAACCATATCGAAAATATACTTTTTGAAATAATTTGCTATTAAATTCAAAGAAGTACATTTTAACATTATAGCGGATGAGGATCCATAAAATTTTCATGGCGCATGATAATAGAAAGTTCTCGATATCGACTTGTTTCATAACACTTAAAGAACACAGTTTTATAGGACAAAATATCTTTCTTCCCATAGTTATAACCTTGCAAGTATGTTTAATAATGGATAATCTAATATTAATATGAAAAAGATTTACAGGTCGGTAAACGTAGCTTCAAGATAGTAGAAATCGGATCAAATGAACACATTACATGTCAAAAAGATATTAAAAAAAAACAAAGAAAAATACAAAAATTTATGAGAAAATGACGCATGTACAGTAGAATTATGCTATTATGGAGTTTAAGTAAATTGGCATTATTCCAGCACTGCTGACAGTTGAGGAGAAACCATTCCACTGACACTGATAAAAATAGGAAAGCGAATTCAATCATTTATTCTGTTATATAACATTTATTCTGTTATATATATATGTGTGTGTGTGTATTCCTCTACATAACAATATTGCCCTCTATTCCTCTTTTTTTTCACAATGGATCATACCGCTGTAGAAGTTAACCCTAGTGTTGTAGATGGTAAAGGAAGAGATTCTGGCACTGTAGATGGTGAAAGAAGAGATGCTATTACTGTAGATGGTGAAGGAGAAGATGCTGGTGCTGTAGATGGTGAAGGAGGAGAAGCTCGTGTTGTAGATGGTGGAGGACGAAAAGCAGGTAAAACCTTACCCATTGTTGTTGCTAAAGGTAACATAGTTTTTAATTTGTTTCTGGCAATATATGTTAGAATGGAATGAAAAATATTTAATAGAAGTAATGAAAAATATTGAATATTTACCTACAAGCTTAAATCGAATTGGCTTTAGTAAATCAAATTTTGTTCATTAGTTTTTGTCAATTTTTTCAGTTCATGGTTTTTGCATGATTTTTAATTCATTTTAAATGATTGTTAAGTTGTTAATAATTTGACAAAATAATCTGTTCTTCAACTCTGCAGTTTTATTTTCTGAACAGATAACTTGATCTCAAATTTATATACAACTTTACAAACTTATAATTATTCTAAATTATTTGTTGCTTATTCCGGTTCAATGGCGTCATATGGAAATAACGATGTGAACAACGGAAGCAACACTATTGGTACCGGTGTACCAAATCTTGCAATGACCGTTGTTAACCCTATGGAAACCACGACTGACATTTCTCCCATTGATGGGATAATTGGAGGCGGGATTCCTCATGTTGAAGTGAACCTAACTTTGCCTTCAGCTGCGGTCTCGGTAATCCAGTTTGCTTTTAACCTAATAGTCGCAGGTTCAAGTCCTGCTACTCATGCTTTTATTCTTCTTTCTTCCACCGGACGTAACGTTACCACGACCACCATCCGCGGTCCATTTGCGTTCTCTTCCCTGCCCGGGAAGGTGGATCAAAGAAAGGTAGAAAGGTTCGTACGGAGAGATTCCATCATCGGAAATTTTCCTCTCGATCATAAAAAATGAGTCGATAGAGTGAACAAATTTGCTCGCGAGTTGCAAAACAGAACTAGGAAGTTATGGGATAAGTCCACTCTCCCCTCCCCAAACAAGCCGGAGAGTAGGAGTAGGTCTCACCGGCTATCTTTGATTGGGTTGCTCACAATACCTTTACCAGTGCCTAGGGCTGCGGTTTCGGCACCTTTGCCATCGTTTCCAGCTCCATTTTCGGTGAATCATGCAATTCGACCGGATAAGTTTGCTGGTACTGATTTTAAGACATGGTAGAATAAGATGGTTTTCTATCTCACTACGTTGGGCCTTGCACGTTTCCTCACTGAGGATGCCCCTATCGTGGCTGAAAACGATACTGATGTGCATAGGCGTGCAGTTTGGGACGCTTGGAAAAATGCTAATTTTTTGTGCCGCAACTATGTCTTGGATGGCCTACAGAACTCTTTGTATCATGTATATGTGGTAAAGAAGTCTGCTAAGGAGCTCTGAGAGTCCTTAGAAAAGAAATCCAAGACCGAGGATGCCGGATCTAAGAAATTCTTAGCCAGTCGGTGTATGGACTTCGAAATGGTTGATTTACGTTCAGTGGTGAGCCAAGTGCAGGAGTATCAAGTGCTTTTGCAAGAAATGCATGCTGAGGGTCTGATCATGTCAGAATCTCTACAGGTGGCTACTGCTATTCACAAGCTACGTTCTCAGTGGAAGGTTTTCAAAAGCTATTTGCAGTATAAGAGGAAAGAGATGTCTTTCGAGAATTTAATTATCAAGCTGCGCATTGAGGAAGATAACAAACAGGTTGAATGTAAGTCAGAGAATTCTTATTCTGAGAAGGCTAATGTATTGGAGTACGGCCAAAGTTCTGGTACTAAGAAAGTTCACTCCTTTAAAGTCAAATAGGGTAACGAAAATCGAAAAGATAAAAAAAGGCTATGAAAGGGTCTCAGTTGAAGCCTGCAGGTGTGGTAGGAAAGAAACCTAAGTTCCAGTTCAATGGAAAGTGCTTCAATTGTGACAAAGTTGGGCATCGATCAGCATACTGCCGTCAGCCTCAGAGGGATAATAAGCAGCGTCCTGAGGCTAATATGGTTGGAAATGAGAGAGATCATCTCTCAGATGAAATGTCTGAGCTAAACCTCACGACGGTGATTAGTGAGGTTAACCTTGTGGGGTCTAACCCAAAGGAGTGGTGGCTAGACACTGGGGCCACTTGTCATGTCTGCTCCAATAAGAGCATGTTCACTACTTTTGCACCAATTACAAATGGTGAAAAGTTGTTCATGGGAAACTCTGCAACTTTTGAAGTGCTTGGTAAAGGCAAGGTGATCCTGAAGATGACACCTGGCAAAGAGCTTACTCTGACTAATATGGTGTATGTGCCAGAGATTCGCAAGAATCTGATCTCTGGGTCTCTTCTGAGCAAGAATGGGTTCCGCATGGTCTTTGAGGCGGATAAGCTAGTGATTACCAAAATAGGAGTTATGTTGGGAAAGGCTATATGACTGATGGCCTGTTTAAATTGAATGTAATTATTGTAACTCCAACTGTTATGAGTAATGAGAAAACTCCTTCTGTTTACTTGCTTGAGTCTCCTAATCTGTGGCATGATAGATTAGGTCACGTAAATTACAATGCTTTACGTAGACTAAGCAAACTAAATTACTTGCCTAGGTTTCAAATTGAATCAAATCATAAATGTGAAACATGCGTTGAATCTAAGCTTACAAGGTTTTCATTTCATAGTATTGAAAGAAGTATCGAGCCATTGGGACTAGTCCACAGTGATGTATGTGACTTGAAATATGTCCAAACACGAGATGGTAATAAGTATTTTATTACTTTTGTCAACGATAGCACGAGATATTGTTATGTGTACTTGCTTAAAAGCAAAGACAAAGCTATCGATAAATTCATTCTTTATAAGAATGAAGTTGAAAATCAACTTAGTAAGAAAACAAAGGTACTACGGAGTGATCGTGGTGGTGAATATGAATCACCGTTTGGTGAATTTTGTGCTAAACATGGAATAATTCACCAAACTACTGCACCTTATTCACCTCAGTAAAACGGAATCGCTCAGCGTAAGAATAGAACTTTAAACAAAATGATGAATGTTATGTTGATTAGTTCTAAATTACCACAGAACATGTGGGGAGAAGCTATTCTTTCCGCAAATTACATCTTAAATAAAGTGTTAAGAAAGAATATGGATAAGACTC